AAATTGAAGCGGAAGGGGAAGGGGAAGGGTGTTGGGGCAGTGATGGGGAGGCGGAAGGGGGGAAGGGAGGGTGTTGCGGGGAGTGAAGGGGAAGGGGAAGGGGAAGGGGAAGGGGATGTGTTGGCAGGACGCAGAGGAAGATAGATTTGAACGGAGTGGACGGGTCACGGGAAGGGATGGTAATAGGGGGATGATTGGGTTGGTGAGGGGCAACAGAGGCGGGCAACAGAGGCGGGCAACAGAGGCGCAAGTCGTGTGGGGGAGGGTGCACGACGAGAGGGGCTGCAGCATGGTGCTTATAGCGAAGGGGTTGGCGCCTACCTTGAGCGCGCCCTGCTTGCGGATGAAGTCGTTGGATTTGAACAGGGCCGCGGTGAGCCACACGACCGTGCAGAAACCTGTGGAAGGGAGGCGGACACGTGTATATGAACGCAAGGCGACACATGAGCGTAAGGAGACACATGAGCGCAAGGACACACATGAGCGTAAGGAGACACATAAGCGTAAGGAGACACACAAGGCGAGGCATGCATAAGTGCGGAGGCTATTGCTGCTTGTCCCCTTGCTTCGTTTCCAACTCATTGCACCAAGCCTGAGCTTCTGTAGCATTGCTGTGTCCTGCCTCCCAACTCACCGACCAGGTACTGCCTGACTCACCGATCAGGTGCTGCCTGACTCACCGATCAGGTGCTGCCTGACTCACCGATCAGGCGCTGTCTGACTCACCGATCAGGTGCTGCCTGACTCACCGATCAGGTACTGCCTGACTCACCGATCAGGCGCCGTCTGACTCACCGATCAGGTGCTGCCTGACTCACCGATCAGGCGCTGTCTGACTCACCGACCAGGTACTGCCTGACTCACCGATCAGGCGCTGTCTGACTCACCGATCAGGTGCTGCCTGACTCACCGATCAGGCGCCGTCTGACTCACCGATCAGGTACTGCCTGACTCACCGATCAGGTGCTGCCTGACTCACCGATCAGGTACTGCCTGACTCACCGATCAGGCGCCGTCTGACTCACCGATCAGGTGCTGCCTGACTCACCGATCAGGCGCTGTCTGACTCACCGATCAGGCGCTGTCTGACTCACCGATCAGGTGCTGCCTGACTCACCGATCAGGTACTGCCTGACTCACCGATCAGGCGCCGTCTGACTCACCGATCAGGTGCTGCCTGACTCACCGATCAGGCGCTGTCTGACTCACCGACCAGGTACTGCCTGACTCACCGATCAGGCGCTGTCTGACTCACCGATCAGGTGCTGCCTGACTCACCGATCAGGCGCCGTCTGACTCACCGATCAGGTGCTGCCTGACTCACCGATCAGGTGCTGCCTGACTCACCGATCAGGTACTGCCTGACTCACCGATCAGGCGCCGTCTGACTCACCGATCAGGTGCTGCCTGACTCACCGATCAGGCGCTGTCTGACTCACCGACCAGGTACTGCCTGACTCACCGATCAGGCGCTGTCTGACTCACCGATCAGGTGCTGCCTGACTCACCGATCAGGCGCCGTCTGACTCACCGATCAGGTGCTGCCTGACTCACCGATCAGGTGCTGCCTGACTCACCGATCAGGTACTGCCTGACTCACCGATCAGGCGCCGTCTGACTCACCGATCAGGTGCTGCCTGACTCACCGATCAGGCGCTGTCTGACTCACCGACCAGGTACTGCCTGACTCACCGATCAGGCGCTGTCTGACTCACCGATCAGGTGCTGCCTGACTCACCGATCAGGCGCCGTCTGACTCACCGATCAGGTGCTGCCTGACTCACCGATCAGGCGCTGCCTGACTCACCGATCAGGCGCTGCCTGACTCACCGATCAGGCGCTGCCTGACTCACCGATCAGATGCTGCCTGACTCACCAACCACCGGGTGCAACCTCACTCCCAGCTCACCGACGAGGTGCTGCCTGCCTCACCATCACGTGCTGCCTGCGTCGCCACTCACCGACGAGGTGCTGTCTGACTTGCACGAAGAGCAGCAGGAACACGAACGGCACGGCCTGCTCCAGACTCCTCGCCGCCAGGTGCATGTCCGACCCCCGCGTCACCGCCCCTCCCCCTCCCCCTCCTCTCCCCCCTTCACCAGCACCACCACCATCATCACCATCAGCACCATCAGCACCATTGGCGGCAGCAGGGGAACCTGAGCCTGCATGCGGCCCTCCCTCCGCTGCCGTGGCTGGTCGCACTGCTCGCCCCCCCCCTCCTGCGCCGATGATCGCCATGGCTGCTGCTTCCCCCGCTGCGTCACTAGCTGCCTCTGCTGCTGACTCTACTGCCGCTGCCGCTGCTGCTCCTGCACCTGTTACTCCTGATGCTGTGCCTTCCGCCTCTGTTGCTGCGGCTCCTGTTCCTGCTCCTGCTCCCGTTGCTGCTTCTGGCGGTAAGTCAGCAGAACAGGCCGCTTCGCCACCAGTCATCCCCTCTCTCCACCGTTGCAATATAGCCCCTTGCCCGACGCCCCCTTGCGCCTCCCCGGTATCTCCCCGTCTCCCCTCCCTCGCTCTATCCATATCCACCCGTACCTCTCCCCCTCCCCTGCCCTCTTGCCTCTCGCCTCCCTCTGTCACGCTTCCCGGTAGTGACAATAGCGAAGGGGGGGACGGGAGCCCAGCGGCAGGGGCGGCGGGGGAAGCGGCGGAGAGCATCTGGGAGGGAGTCGGGGGGGAGGTGAGACTCCGGAGGGCGAACGGCTCGCCATTGGTTGAAGCAATCGCCACGTGGGCGTCGTACGGGCGTCGTTGAATGGGTGGGGGAGTCTCGTACGGGCGGTAGCTTGACACGGAATCTCCGCGTGCGGAAGACACCTCCGCGGAATGTCCCCGTGGTCTTTCCCCTCTCTCTCCCCCTCCCCCTTCCGCTTCCCCGCAAGCTTCCCCGCGCTCTACCGCTTCCCCTCGTCTTTCCGCGAGTCCATCGTCAAAGGCTTCCGGACCCGCTGAAGACGAAGAGCGCTCGGCGCGCTGTCGCGTGACAGGGGCTAGTGTTTGAATCGACTCAAAAGCAGACGAAGAACGCTCGGCGCGCTCTCGCGCGACAGGGTCTAGCGCTGGCGGCGGCAGCGGCGGCAAGTGCGGGGAGCGCAACGGCGTTACACTCGGCGGCTCCTGTCCGGCATTTCCTGAACCGGAATCCGACAGGACGAGCGGGGATCTGCTGCTTATATCGGATCGACTGCTTGTAGCGGATTGGCTGGCGAGAAGAGGGGACTGGCCCGGGTTCCGGCGAGCAGGGGCAACGGGGGGATCTGAGCCGAAAAACGCGGAGGAGAGACCGAGGCTAAGCGCGGATAACGGCGGAGATCCCGAGACGTCGACTACCCGGTGGAAAAAATCCTGCTCCTCGTTCTCGGAGTCCGGAGTGTCTGACAGCTGACCATTCTCGTGCGTCTGCTGTCGTTGATATTGCTGACGCGGCTGCTGCTGCTGACGGCCAGGATGACCGTCGGATAGCCATTGCGGAAGCAGCTGATGGCGTTCCTGATTGGCTCGTTCGGGTGCTTGGTTACCGCGTCTGCCGGTGGCGCTGGGGACGTTGGTGCTGGTTGCGCGGAGGATTCTCGATAAGGCATCGATGGGGGAGAACCTAGACCCGAAAAACGTCAAGTGATTGCTGGTAGCGTTTTGCTGAGAAGAAGTGATGGGAATCCCAGGGGTTGTGATCCTGGGCCGACCCAGGTTAGATGGAACAGGCAGATTTCTGGTGCCATGGCTACCACTGCTACTACCGCTGCCACTACTGCTGCCACTACTGCTGCCACTATTGAGCGGGTTCGCTTCGTCAGGGTCCACCATTAATGATGGCTTTCGTAGTTTATGTAGGTGATAGTAATTGCTGCGACAGGGACCGAACCAGGAAGGCGAAATTTAAGAGGTACTACCTTACTGGACTAAGATTACGACGAACGAATCTACAAGGAAAGTGGCAAATTCCTGACTAGAACCACGGAAGCAGAATTCGCTCATGAAGTTCCTTCCCTGCACACACGAGACTCTAGAGACGCACGCGTCTACGATACGGGACCCTAACCGTGTACTCAGGAATTTCTTGTCCTTAGGGACGATGGTACGAATAGGCTGGCGGTTATTGGAGATTACTGGCGAATATTGGCGATTATTGGTTAGAAGAATCTGAAATAGCATTCGTCCTGACACAAAAAACTCCCAACGGTACCTGGAGTCATCACAGGCACATCTCAGCAGGCACTCGTCAAATGCAGGCACGCTTCTGCCGGTCGCCTGCTCTCAACTCAAGCTCACGGGTGGTAGTCTGGGGAAACTTGACGGAATGACGGCATGACGGACTGACAGATTGACGGGAAGAGACGCGAAGTCGAAGAAAACGCGGCAACATCAAGGTCCTCCGCAATTGCGCAGCAGCACCCAGGGAAATAGCTCAACGAAGGGAGCCCGTCACCTTCCGCAGACAGCGCATCCCCCGCGCAAGACCTCTTGGGGCCTGTGATGGGTTCTCCCTCGCGCCTTTTCAAGAGCAGATCGTTGAGCGCGCCATTGGGTTCGGTGGGAAGCCCAGCCCACGTCAGAACCGAGCTGCTCTGACGAGTCACTGTTTGCGGAGCTGGAGTGGTCCGCCCGATGGCCCAGACCCTGTGCGGGCGCTGACTGGGTTGGGGCATAGCGGGGAGATACCATTCCAACGCGTCCAGCAGTGTGGCGGGAAAACTGCTGGAACGTGGGAAGTGATGGGCGGAGCGGAGGATATTTTGTCCGTTGGTTCGGTGATCTGCGCGTAGGGGATCAGGCGCAAGCAAGGAGGCGCCTGACGACTGCGCGCACAGTGATGGTCGCCCGTTTTCGAAGCTAGCGGTTCGGTTCGGTGCGTTTGCTATTGGCTCTTCGTCTTCGCTGGCGCGACCAATTCATTCATTGGGTTTGCGCCAACTGGACGCAGGTATCCCGTTCGTAGCGAATTCGATTACGAGCAAAGTGAGAAGCATTTTCACAGCAAACCCAGTACGAGAACATTTCCCGTGGTGTTCAAACCAGCACCACAAAAAAACATTGAGGTGAGAGGTCCTTCGAACTACTGACCATCCACCGCTTCTACTAGAATTCGTGAGACTTCACTTCAAAAGCAATCTCCTGAGAGCTTGGCCACAGTGTCTGTCAAAAGCAATGCTCATACGTCCATTTACCCTACACGTCCTCCAGCAAAAGACCCTAACGGGCTCAACTTTCCATTTTCTACTCCTGTGCAGCAACCTTGAGCGCAAGAGTGAGATCATCCAAGCTGGCCTTGGCATACAGCTGGTGCTTCACGATCTCCACCGAGTCCCTCGACGCCACGGTGCCGGTCGCCGCATCCTCCTCATCCACCGTGTTAAATATCACAAACGCCGGCGACGTGAAAATCACCTCGCGCTCCGTCGGCTCATGCCTGTAGAGAAGGTTCCCCATGCGGCGCCCCCCACCACCAGCAGCAGACTTGCTGGCAGCAGGAGGGAGCGGGGGGGCACCGGAACTGCCGCTGCCGCTGCTGCTGCCAGGGGTGGTGCTGCTGGCGCCGGAGCTGTCGTTGCTGCTGCTGCCAGAGGGTTCCTTCTCCTGCCATAGCTTGCCCACGACCCGCCATTCGTCCGTCCGGCTATCCGGCTCCTTTGATTGGCGGAATGCAAATGGAGTTGAGGAAAGAGGTGGGGGGAGAGGGGGGGGGGGAGGGGGGGTAATTGGGTGGTTTTGGGTCCAAAATACAGCTGAGGGGGTACCAGAATGCAGCCTCTACAAGCAAACGGTCTGTTCAGACACATGTCAGACACTCACAGGCAGATGCGGAAGCCTGATGGGGGCAGGCAGGAGGCGCACGGACGGCACATCCGTGGAATTGAGGGCTCTCTCAGTGAGCAGCTTGACCACGAGGCATGAGCAGCCCTGCAGCCTCTTCCCCATGCATGCAGTTTGCTTATGGGCCACATGCATACTAACAGTTCCTGGGATTCCTCAAGCGCCTACCGGTAGGTGCGGCAGCCGAATGGGGGCGGGCAGGAGGCGCACGGACGGCACATCCGTGGCGTTGAGCGCCCTCTCAGTGAGCAGCTTGACCACAAGGCGCGAGCAGCCCTGCAGCCTCTTCCACAGCGAGGCCGCCACCATGACAGTGGCCTCCATGCGGGTAAAGGCTCTCAGCAGCACCTCCAGGTCCTCCACACGCTCGTCCGAGCAGCTGCCCGCACTCTCTGGTAGGGAAAGGGGAGGGGGAAAAGGGAAAGGGAGGGGGAAAAGGGAAGGGGAGGGGGGCAGGAGGAAGGGGGGGTTCGGAAGTTTACTGTATGGTGTCTGAAAGGACGAGAGGCCACCACCATGACAGTGGCCTCCATGCACGTGAACGCCCTCAAGAGCACCTCCAGGTCCTCCACGCGCTCGTCGGAACAACTCCCCGCACTCCCTGGTGTGTGGGAAGGGTGGTGGGGGAAAAGGGTGACTGGAAGCACAAGGGGCCGTCCCCATGGCAGTCGCCTCTATGCCACGACGGGCGAATGCAGTTGTCTCCGCACAAGTTCACCACTCACATGGATGCCAGTATGCTCGCCAAGTGCTGCCTCTACTCTGCCACCAGCTCCAATCAGCACCGGTTCACCACTCGTACCTCACAGCACCCTCTCTGTACTCACACATCCAACCACACCCATCCCAACCGCCGCCCCTCCCTCCCCCCCACCACTCACGGTCATCCAGCCACTGCCACATGGAGGCCACCATGCCCGCCACGCGCTGCCTCTGCTCAGCCACCGGCTCCTCCCGCGCCGCCTCCGCCCGCCCCAGCAGCAGCACGGCGGACGAGAAGGCCGTGGCCAGCAGCTGCCCCAGCAGCTCCTCAGGTACTACCGTGTCGAGATAGTGCAGGATCTGACAGGGGAAAGGGGGGGAGCAGGGGAGGGGGAGGGGGAGGGGGAGGGGGAGGGGGGGGGAGGGGGAGGGGGAGGAGTCTATTTTTGAGGCGCCTCAAAAATAGACTCCTCACGCAGGTACTACCGTGTCGAGATAGTGCAGGATCTGACAGGGGAAAGGGGGGGAGGAGGGGGGGGGGGAGGTGGGTGGGGGGGAAGAGGACGGGTTGTATTGGTTGATGGTGCAGTGGCCAGCAGCTGCCCTCGCAGCTCCTCCGGCACCACCGTGTCCAGGTAATGCAGGATCTGCAGGGGAAAGGGGGGGATGGGCGGGATGGGGGGGAGTGGAGGGATTTGTACAGGTTGATGGTGTAGGTTTAGGTTTAGGCACCCCAAGACGCCTGCGCCCTCCGCCCCTCCCACCAGCAGCACGGCGGACAAGAAGGCCGTCCCCAGCAGCTGCCCCAGCAGCTCCTCCAACATCACCGTGTCCAGAGTGTGCAGGAGGGTGTTTGGGGGGGGGGGGAGAGACGGAGGGTGGTTCGGGCATTGACTAACGCTTCAAGAGGCCTGTGCCTTCCCCAGCAGCAGCACGGCGTCGCCAGCAGCTGCCCCAGCAGCTCCTCTGGCACCACCGTGTCCAGGCAGTGCAGGATCTGACAGGTTGCACCGGGGAGGAGGGGGGCGGAGGGGCAGTTGGGAAGTTCGCTTCAGGCGGCTTATGAGGCCAGCAGCCGGACTGCGGACGAGAAGACTGGGCTAGCAGCTGGCCTGCAGGCTCCTCTGGCACCACCGTGCCCAGGTGGTGCAGGATCTGTCAGGTTGCAGGGGGGGGGGGGGAGGGGGAAGGCACGAGGTGTTGCAGGATGTGACGGGTTACAGGGGGGAGTGGGGGGGGAAGGCACGAGGTGTTGCAGGATGTGACGGGTTACAGGGGGGGAGTGGGGGGGGAAGGCACGAGGTGTTGCAGGATGTGACGGGTTACAGGGGGGGAGTGGGGGGGGAAGGCACGAGGTGTTGCAGGATGTGACGGGTTACAGGGGGGGAGTGGGGGGGGGAAGGCACGAGGTGCTGCAGGATGTGACGGGTTACAGGGGGGGAGTGGGGGGGGGAAGGCACGAGGTGTTGCAGGATGTGAGGGGTTACAGGGGGGGAGTGGGGGGGGGGAAGGCACGAGGTGTTGCAGGATGTGGAAGATGGGCCGCTGCTCGTGGGCGGGCTCCAGCTCTTCACTGTCCCACTCTTTTCTCTACAACCACTCCCCATCTCCCCTCTTCCCCTACCCCCATGGTTCCCTTCACTCACTCGCTCCCTCTCCCCCCTCACCTTCTCGCCCTCCAGGTCGAAGTGGAAGATGGGCCCCTGCTCGTGAGCGGGCTCCGGCTCAGCGCTGTCCCACAGCTCCCTCCCTCTATCACCCCCTTTCCCCCTCTTTCCTCACACACTCTTCTCCTCACTCGCCCCCCCCTCCCCCTCCCCTCACCTTCTCCCCTTCCAGGTCGAAGTGGAAGATGGGCCTCTGCTCGTGGGCGGGCTCCGGCTCGGCGCTGTCCCAAAGCTCGCGCCACAGGTTGCCGTGCATCTCCTCCATGCGCTCCGACAGCCGCCCCCTCGGCGGCCACCCCGACCCGTCATCCCTGACCCGCCGCCGCCTGCCGCCACCACCACCACCCGCACCTCTCCCACTGCCGCCCCCTCTCCCTCTCCCCCCTCTGCGCCCGCCGCGGTCGCCATCCCTCCTATCATCATACCTGTCTCCCTCCCTCCGCCCGTCCCTCCCCCCCTGCCGCCCCTCCACTCGTCCTCCTCATAGTCATCATCATCTTCACGATCACGGTCGCCCCGCCTGTCCCTGCCTCTGCGCTGCTCGGCCAACTCGTCCCACTCCTCGCGATCGTCGCTGTACTCCCGCTCCTCTCGCCCCCTCTCTCGCCCCCTCTCCCTCGCCCGCTCCCTCTCCCTGTCACTGTCCGGGTCCGGGCTCCTGCCCCTGCTACTCTCCCTCTCTCTCTCCCTCACTCGATCTCCGTCTCGCCCCCTATCCCTACTGCCCGCCCGCGCCCTCTCTCTACCCTCTTCCCTCTCCCTTCCCCTGTCTCTTTCCCTGTCGCTGTCTCCTCCCTCCCTCTCCCTATCACTGTTCTCCCTCCCCTCCCTGTCCTCTTTCTCCACTGCCTTCTCACTCTCGTCTTCCACCCTCGGCTTCCCCTTCAGACCACCCCCTTCACTCTCACTCACAGCTTGCTCCTCCACTTCCTCCTCCCCACCACCCCCGACATCCTCCCCTCCCTCTTTCAACTTCTCCTCCCTATCCGCCCCTTCGTCAACGCCACCACCCTCCTTCTCGCCACCTTCACCAGCACCCGCCTCCCCCGGCTTCTCCTCTTGAGCCGCCTCGAAAAACTCCTCCTCTTCCTCATCCTTACCCTTCCCGGGGCTGCTGCTGCTGCGGTGAGGAGAGGGGGAGCCGCCTTCCTGCTTCTGGTTCTTGCTCGCCATCTCACCTTTCTCCCCTTCTGTCTCCCCGTCACCATCTGCTTCCCGCTTCTCCTTATCCTCCTGTTTCTTCTGATCTGCCTCTCCTGGACCATCCTTATCGAAATCAGTTTCGTCCTCCCTCTTGGACTTGTCACCATCCCCGTACTCCCTGCCCTCCTCTCCCTCCCTCTCCCTCTCCCTGCCCCTGTCCCTTCCCATATCCCTGCCACCATCCTTCCTACCCACATCCCTGTCACCATCACTCTCCTCAGTCTCCCTCTCCCGCTCCCTCTCCCTCTCCCTCTCCCTCTCCCTCCCCTCTCTCTCTCCCTATCAGACTCCCTGTCCGAGTAATCATTCTCACCGTACCTCCCGCTCTCATCCCCATACCTGTCATCCCGACCACTCCCATACCTGTCCTCATCCTCCCTACCATACCTACCATCCTCCTCCCTTCCGTACCTATCCCCCCGCCCATACCTCCCAGAATCATCACCGCCCCTCCCGCCCCTCCTGTACCGCCCATCATCATCATCATCCCTCCCGTACGTCTCACTGTCGTCCCTACGGAACCGCCTTCCCCTGTCGTCCGCGTCATCGTAATCGTCCACGTCATCATAGTCATCATCAGTGGCTGCGATCTCAAGCCAGTCGTTGGGCGAGTGCCAGCGCACAAAGTCCTCCAGCACTGCTCCAGGGTTGGCTGCTTTGAATGCCGCCATGTCTGGGGGGAAGAAGGGTGTGTGTGGGTGTGTGGGGGGGAGGTGTGTGTGGGGGGAGGTGGAGGTGTGTGTGGGGCGAGGGAGGGGGGGAGAGGGGGATGTGTGGGGGCACGGAAAGAAGGGTGGGTGAAACGAGCCAGCCGTTGGGGCCAGCGCACAAAGTCCTCCAGAACTGCTCCGGGATGGGCTGCCTTGAATGCCGCCATGAATGGGGCCAAGGGAGGTGAGAGCGGAAATACAAGCAAGGTGGGGAGGGTTGGGGGGGATTGGGTGCGGCACGGGAAAGGGATGAGAGGGCGGGCGGGCGGGCGGGCGGGAGGGAAGAGAGGAGGGAGGGCGGGCGGGTATGGAGGGGAAGGGCGGGACGGACAAGGTACGGAAAGAGCGGGCATGGGGGCGAGTGTTGGTACAGCTGTTGATGGCTTCACACAGCCATCACACGGGCATCACACGGACAGGCTTCACACAAAGAGCACAAGCTGGCAAAAAGAACAAGCCATACCTGAAGCAACAACGTCACTCTGCATGCGAGCTCGAGTCTCACGTCCCTGCACACACAGATGAGCAGGCAAACGCAGATGGGCAGACGAACGCAGACCAGCAGACAAAGGCAGATGTTGGAGCGCACACACATACACATGTGGTAATTAAGTGCCATGCTTTCCACAACCAGGGCCTAGCAAGCACTTGAGCTCTCGCCGCAGGGGTGCTCCCAAAGCCTCCATGGCGCGCACCTTCTCCTCAATCGACTCTTCACTCATCAACACCAGATCCTGGGTGTGTGGCACAAACCCTCCACACCCCAAACACAAGACTCGAACACGCACCGCAGGGGTGCTCCCCAAAGCCTCCATGGCCCGCCTCTTCTCCTTGATCATGTCTTCGCTCATCAACACCGGGTCCTGACTGTGTGGCCCACGCCCACGTCCTGACTGGGCACGCGGCTCAATGCTCGTGCCTCTTCCCTTTCCGTTTAACTCACCGCAGAAGTGCTTCCCGATGCCTCCACGGCGCGCTCCTTCTCCTCAATCACATCCTCACTCATCAACACTGGGTCCTGGGTGTGCGGCACAAACCCTCCACACCCCAAAACCCAAGACTCGAACACACACCGCAGGGGTGCTCCCCAGAACCTCCAAAGCTCTTTCCTTCTCTTCAATCATGTCGTCACTCACGAACACCGGGTCATGGGTGTGCGGCTCCAGCGCGCGCCTACTCCTGTCTGTTGAACTCACCGCAGGCGTGCAAATCCAACACCCCAAACACAAAACTCAAAGACTCACCGCAGGGGTACTGCCAAGAGCCTCCATAGCTCTTTCCTTCTCCTCGATCATATCCTCACTCATGAACACCGGGTCCTGGGTGTGCGGCTCCAGCATGTGCCGCCGCACGCGCAGCAGCCACATGTCGCCCTTCACCGGTCCCACCACCCCGCGCCGGCGCACGCGGCGCCGCCCCCGGGCCATCGGCCCGCTGCTGCCGTGGCTCGTGCGGCCCCGTTCCGCCCACGTGTCATCGTCCGATACGTCGCTCTCGCTGAAGTACCTGTGGGTGGGGCGGGTGGGAGGTGGGAGGTGGGTGGTGGGTGGGTAGGTGTGGGGTGGATGGAGTGTGAATGCCTAAAAGGCCAAAGGTGACTGCTGGCTCCTGCGGCCCCGCTCCACCCCCACGTGTCATTGTCCAATACACGGCTCTCGCTGAAGTATCTCTGGGTGGGGAGGGCGTTGAGTTGTGGATGGGTGTGGGGTGGACGGAGTGTGAATGTTTACAGAGGTAAACGCGGTGACTGCTGGTTCGCACGGCCTCTCCTTGAGAGGTTGACGGATGGTGGTTGGCGGGTAGGTGCGGGTTGCAGAGGATTCATTTTTTAGAATGATATGTTGCAGCCGGGTAGGTGCGGGTTGCAGAGGAGTCATTTTTTAGAATTATATGTTGTAGCCGGATAGGTGCGGGTTGCAGAGGAGTAATTTTTTAGAATTATATGTTGTAGCCGGGTAGGTACGGGTTGGACAAAAATGTGTATAAGCGTCCTGAATGGTGGGTGGGTATGAGGCACTTCAAGATGTGAGAACATGCACGTAACACACTTCCCCCACCCCCTCACCCCTCCCGTTTCATATCATCCACTCACACCCTCCCCTCCTCCCCCCCCCCCCCCACACCCCCAAAAAGCCATGTACCCTTCACACTATCCCCCTCTCGCTTCTGCGCGACGACGAATCACCATCCACCACCCCGCCCTCCATCATAGAACGCCCCATCGTGATACCCGCGGGTGTCGGAGAGTGCCCTAGCCCGCCAAGAAGGCCCTCCCCCCTTCACCCGAGCATCCACGCACTCTACCTCACTATCCCCCACTCACTCATCAAGATCCTCCTCGCTCCTGCGCGACGGTGAGTCCACCACCCCGCCCTCGTCATAGAACGCCACGTCGTGCGAGCCATGGGTGTCGGAGTCCCCTGACGCCGTGTAGTCATCGCGGTAGGGGCTCGCCCCGTCCCCATCGTCCCACCCTCTCCCTCCCACCCTGCGACCCTGCCTTCCACCCTGGGAACGAGGGAAGGGAGACGGGGGGAGTAGGACAGGGGGAGAAAGGATGCAGGAGATTTGATGGGGCGGGGTCCAGATGGGGCACGCGAGCCATGGGTGTCGGAGTCCCCTGATGCCGTGTTCTCATCACGGTAGGGGCTCGCCCCGTCCCTGTCGTCCCATCCCATCCTCTGCCGCCCACCCTGCGCCTTGCACCCTTCACAGAGCACCCATAAAAGGACAGAGGGATAGCGAATGCATTTAAGGACGACAGGAGAGATGTAGTGTGTGCGTGAATGACAGAGAGGGTTGGAGGAGAGAGGGGGAAAGCGGGGGAGAGGGGGTTGGGAAGGGGGAGGGGAGGGAGGGGGTTGGTTGGAAAAGGGAATTTAGTTTGGGGCCTTACCTCGCCATCGTGCCAGCCGTCTGCCTCACTACCGGACCTCTCCACGCCATCCCAATCATCCTCCTCCCTCCCGCCCCTCCTCCTCTCCCTGTCACTCCCCATCCCTCCCCTCCCCCTCCTCATCTCCCTCTCCCTTCCACCCCCCCTCCTCCCGCTGCCTCTCCCGGACGGCGAGTCACCCCGTGCCAGGCCGTCGTCCAGCGCTGTACCCCTTACAAGCTCCTCCACGCGCTCGCCTACAAGCTTGGCGGCGGCGATCTGGTGCATTCTCTCGGCGTGGCGCATGCGCTCCTCCATCTCCCGCTCCTGCTGCTTGCGCCGCCGCCGAATGCACTCCTGCAGCTGAAGGGTGGGAAGGGGAAAGATGGGGGAAGGGGGAAAGAGGAGAGATTGGGCTCAGAATGGGCGAGGGCAGGGTGAAGAGGAGGAGGGGGTTAGCGACGAATGAGAAACCCTATACCAATGCAGCAGCATGGGATTTGGCGAGCCTACCAGCTGTAGATGTCGGTGGATGAGGCACATGGCATGGCAGTGTGGGGAGGCCTGAGAGTCGGCTCCAAGCCACGTACCCGCTGTAGCAACATGGGCTGTGGTAACCCTACCAGCTGCAGCAACATGGGCTGTGGTAACCCTACCAGCTGCAGCAACAAGAGCTGTGGTAACCCTACCAGCTGCAGCAACAAGGGCTGTGGTAACCCTACCAGCTGCAGCAACAAGGGCTGTGGTAACCCTACCAGCTGTGGCAACATGGGCTGTGGTAACCCTACCAGCTGTGGCAACATGGGCTGTGGTAACCCTACCAGCTGCAGCAGCATGGGCTGTGGTAACCCTACCAGCTGCAGCTTCTGGTGAATGAGGCAGGTGGCGGTGTGGGGAGGCCCGTCGGCTATGACCCGAGGAATGGGCAGAGCCTGCTCCCAGCTCCACCGCAGCTCCCTGGTAAACTCCAGCCACAGCGCCGCCACAGCTGGGAGAGGGAGGTAGGAGTAGGTGAGTGAGAGGGGAAGGGGAGCCAGAGGAAGTGGAAACAGGAGAGGGGAATAAGCAAGGGATGGGCAGAGCCTGCTCCCGGCTCCACTGCAGCTCCCTGGTAAACTCCAGCCACAGCGCCGCCACGGTTGGGAGAGTAAAAAACAGGGCAAGGGTGAGAGCGTAAGGGGTGTCAGGGCAATGGTGTCAGTCAGGGCAATGGCGTCAGTCAGGGCAATGGCGTCAGTCAGGGCAATGGCGTCAGTCAGGGCAATCGCGTCAGTCAGGGCAATGGTGTCAGTCAGGGCAATGGCGTCAGTCAGGGCAATGGTGTCAGTCAGGGCAATGGTGTCAGTCAGGGCAATGGTGTCAGTCAGGGCAATGGTTTCAGTCAGGGCAATGATGTCAGTCAGGGCAATGGTGTCAGTCAGGGCAATGGTGTCAGTCAGGGCAATGGTGTCAGTCAGGGCAATGGTGTCAGTCAGGGCAATGGTGTCAGTCAGGGCAATGGTGTCAGTCAGGGCAATGGTGTCAGGGCTTGGCATGAAAGAGGGATAACCGGAGGGAGAAAGGATGGCGGGTGGAGGTATGGCGGGGGCGAGGAGGAATCGAGTTTAGAGTGTGCAATAGAGGCACTAAACGAGGACTGAAAGCGGGAGAGGGGGAACAGGACAGGGGAGTCAGAGCCGGGCTCTAGCTCCTGAGTGAACTCCAGCAACAATGCCAGGCCTCCCAATCCTGGAGTGGAAAGCACATGCCATGCCACTCACATCGGATGTTGCATGTGCCGAAGCGCAGCACATGCAGGGCGAGCCGTGAGAACAAAGAATCCACAGGAGCCGCCTTGCCGATGTGAGTCGCCCCCTTGAACTTGCCACTCAGCCCATTGTCCTCCACCCCTGCTCCCCCACCTCCTGCTCCTCCTCCCTCCCCTCCTGCTCCCGCTGCTGCCCCCTCTGCTCCTGGACCCTTCACCCCGCTACCGGTGGCGCTGGTGTCCGTCCCGCTGATGCTGCTGATGATGCTGCTGGCTGTGGTGATGGTGGGGGCCGGGTCAGTGTCGGATGCGAGGCTGACCTCCTGCTGCTCCGGCACCTTGCCCATGTACTTGGCCACTGATGCTAGCGCCTCCTCTGGAGTGGAAGGGGGGAGGAGCGGGGGAGGGGGGGGACAGAGGGAGGGGGGGTTTTGGAGGAAGGTTGAATGGAATGGAGAGTGGAGGGGCCTACCAGACGTGAGGCTGACTTCCTGCTGCTCTGATACCTTGCCCATGTACTTGGCCACGGATGCTAGCGCTTCCTCTGGGGCGGAGGAGGGGAAGGGGGAGGGGCATTAGATGGGAGGTTGACCTCCTGCTGCCCTGACATCTTTCCCATGTACTTGGCCACCGATGCCAGCGCATCCTCAGAGGGAATGCAGGGGGAGGGGAGTGGAGAGGGTAAGAGAGGGGTGATTGTGGGGAAGGAAGGAGAGGGGCATGAGGAGCAGGCATGCTGGGCTCCACCAGATGATAGTTATTTCGTTTTGAGTCCACCAGATAATAGTTACAATCACAGGGATGAGCAGCCATGCTGGGCTCCACCAGATATGTGAGGTTGACCTCCTGGTGCTCCGACACCTTTCCCACGCATCTCGCCACTGATGCCAGCGCCTCCTCTCGAGTGGGACAACAGTGTAGGAGAGAAAGGAGAGAAATGGAAGGAAGAAACTAAATATTGAAATTGCAGGAATATCTGCTATTCTTATACATAGCCAAGAGAGTGCGCTTCCTGGGATAACAAGACCTTGCTTCATCCATAATGCGATGATAATAAGCCCTTGGTGGAGGCTCAACCCCCGACTTACTGGAGTGGAAGAGGTCCTTCACCACACGCTCCATCACACTGGGAGGGGGGATGGTCATGTTGTTGCGCCGCGCAAAGTTCTGAGCTGCGAGGGGGGGGACGAAACGTAGGAAGACGAGAAGAGGAAGGAGAAAGAGATGTGAGGAGACGAGAAGATGGGAGGGAAGCACGCACATACAATAGCATAAGCATCTCCAATCCAAACTGTCACACACGTGGAATTCACTCAGTGTACGTCGACCTCATCTATAAGCTGATTTCCCCATTGAAGCCTCCATGTACAGCACATACCCGCTATAAAGTCTTCCATGTACTGCCCTGTGGTGGACACCACGTACGCCCCCAGGAGAGCATGCAGCCGCCCAGCAAATCCCTGAGGGGGGTCGTCACTGTCAAAGTCCGTCCTGCAGCAAAGGGAAACGAGAAAACGGACAGGGGAGGGAGAAACGGAGAGTAGGAGCCAGGCGTGAGAGGGAGGGACGGAGGGCGAGAACAGCACGTAGGGGGAGATGGGGGGCGCCTTCCTCGTGGGAGCGAGCAGTGGCCCCACGGTGGCAGCATCTAGCTGCTGCAATGCGCTATGTCCGATGAGCTGCTGGCTCCCACCTGGTAGGCGCACTTAAAATCCCTTACCTGTTGAGAGGAGCGAGCGAGCAGTGCGGCTCACCTGGTGGGGGCAAGGAGAGCTCGCAGCAGCCACTCATCCGCAGCGGTGGTGGCGTCCAGCTGCTCCATCCGCGCCATACCCGACGATTTGCTTGTCCCCACCTGGTAGGCGCACTTAAACTCCCTTACCTGTTGAGAGGAGCAAGCGAACAGCGCGGCTCACCTGGTGGGAGCGAGGAGCGCGCGTAGCAGCCACTCATCAGCAGTCGTGGCGTCGAGCTGCTCCATCTGCGCCATGCCCGACGAGCTGCTGGCCCTCAGCTCCTTCCAGGTGGCCACCAGCTCGAAGCCCTTCACAGGGTCGTCCACTGCATGCCACACACTCCACGCCATGCCCTCGTCCCACGCCCGCTCCTGCCCCCAGTACTCATCCTCCTCGTCCGCCCCTCCTCCGCTTCCCGCTCCTCCCCCTCCCGCACCCTCCTCGTCCTTCCCGCCTGCTCCTGCGCGGCTAGAAGGGGGAGGAGCGTCGGGGGCGCCCCAGTAGCGCAGGCGGTAGCGGATGCGCATGGCGACAGTGACGTCGGGGGAGACAGACGCCACGCTGCTGGGGAGCTCCGCAATCTGTGAGAGCATGCCAGGAAGGGGGGGGGGATGGGGGAGACAAGGAGGCGGGCAGGATAGGGTGATCGCGGAGCCCCAGTAGCGCAGGCGGTAGCGGAAGCGCATGGCGACAGTGACGTTAGGGAACACTGATGCTACGCTGCTGGAGAGCCCCGCTATCTGCGGGTGGAACAAGGGGCGAAAGGGCGGGGATGGGGGTTGAGGGGGGGAATGCGGAGCCCCAGTAGCGCAGGCGGTAGCGAGTGCGCATGGCCACGGGAACGTCAAGGGAGACAGACGCCACGCTGCTGGGGAGCTCTGCTATCTGCGGGTGGGAGGAAAGAGGTAGAAGAGGCCGTAGAGCGACAGCAGGTTCAGTGTGTGAGGAGGAGTCTGTGTTTGAGGCACCTCAGAAACAGACTGCACTCGAGACACAGAGCAACTATCCCTCACCAGCTTGAAGGCGAAGAGATACTAGAGCCCATCCAGGGACAGCAGGTTCTGCAGCACGTTGCTCGTGATACGGTCCGCCTCTTAGTGAAACAGGTAGTCGCCCACGCCCCCCGCTGTTAGAACTTAGAATCCCCTCAACTACTTGAGAACAACCAGCTCTCACCAGCTTGAAGGCGAAGAGGTAGTAGAGCCCATCCAGGGACAGCAGGTTCTGTGGCACGTTGCTTGTGATGCGGTCCGCCTCGTAGTGAAACAGATAGTCGCCCACGCCCCCCGCCCCCACCCCTCCCACCGTGCCTCCGCCCGCGCCCGGACCTGACCGCACACCTCGACCCGAGCCTGCGTTGGAGCTGGTGCGGGTGGCCCGGGGGCCGTGCTGGAAGCCTATGAAGGCCTTGCGGGAGGGGTCGTGCACCGGGACGAAGGAGGGCAGGGAGCTGCGGGAGGGTGGGTTGAGGGGCAAGGGATGGGATGGGATGGGATGGGATGGGATGGGATGGGATGGTATGGTAAGAAGGGAGGAGACGGAGGGGAGACGAGCACAAGAAGGTGCAGGCAGACGCTGAGACGCTTACATGGAGGGCTGCACTGCTAAAGGTGCATGTAAGCTTCACTGCCAGACGATGTCACTACTCGCCCGACTACACCTGCCCCACTATTCCCTATTGAAGGCAGCGGGAACTATGGCGAGTATTTTAGAAAGCAAATCGGGTGGTTACCACTCGGTGTTACACGAGGCGATGGCGAGGGTGCTGAGCAGCATGGAGGCTTCAGGTGAGTCCAGCACAACGCCAGACGCTGTCACTGGGGCCAGCACCTGTGGCAGCGGTGAGGGAATTGAGCAGGAAGTAGACCACGAGTACAAGGCGAGTCAAGCCAAGCACACCAACGAACAAGCCAGCACAAACAAGTCAGCACAAACGAGTCAGCACAAACGAGTCAGCACGAATAGCAGCATGCCACGGCGCATACCAGGAAAAAAATCCAGAAAAACGACAACAATAGAGACTCACGACAAACTCTTGAATGCCTAACCAGAGCTGCAGCGGGTGCACAGCCTTCTCCCACGGGCTGGGAAAATCAGTCGGCTCAAAGACTCACCACGAACTCTTGAATGCCGAACCAGAGCTGTAGCGGGTGCACAGCCTTCTCCCACGGGCTGGGCCGGCCCGTGGCTGAGATGGACGCTATGCGCTTCAGCGCCGCCGCTGTCTCCGCAGCCACTGACGGGTGCACGCTGTTGCTGTTCGCCAGAGACACCTGGGGGAAGAGGGAGGGGGGTGCGGTCGTGAGGGAGGGGGTGGGGTTGTGGGGGAGTGGGGAGTCGTAGCAATGGCATGGGTCATGGGGATGAGCACATGGTCGTGGGCGATGGACGCTATGGGCTTCAGAGTTGCTGCTATCTCCGCAGCCACTCACGGGTGCACGCTGTTGCTGTTGGTCAGAGACACCCCCGGGGAGAGCGGGGCGAGGGTGGGAGGAGGAAGAAAGTGCAGGCAAGAACATGGCGGGCAAATGCATGCACGGTGATGGTGACAAACGTATAGCTGTGTGGAGCAAATCACTTCGCAAGGGCACGCACATGGTAAAAATGGGAACCTAGAGCCATGGATTCTACGGAAAGCAAATGATAATGTGAAATAAGTACACCACCATGGGTTTTCTCACCTGGAAGTAGTAGGTGAGGCGGTAGTTCTTATGCCCCTGAGCGTGCTCCGCCTCCACGTACACCATCAGCGGCATGCCTTCTACCGGCCGCGCTGCTCCCGTCTGCTCGGGGAGAAAGTGGGGGGCAGAAAGGGGAGAGCGGTGGGGGGGGAGGGGGAGGGGAGAAAGGGGGGGGGGTAGCTCGATTGAGTAATCTCCACGTACACCATCAGCGGCTTGCCTTCCACCGGCCGCTCTGCTCCCGTATGCTCGGGGGAGAGGGGCGGAGGTTGTAGATTGTAAGGCGAGAAATAAGCATCATTACAATAACGAATCGGACCATCTAGCTGATGTGGCGTATGTATCACAGCAGGTGTAACCGAGGCAAAACGGCGCAGAGGAATCACATCGTGTAAGTACAGCTGATCGAGTAAGTACCTGCACGAGCGCAGCAGAGCCTTCCGACAGCCACTGGCGCAGACTGCCCTCCACCGCAGCAATGAACCTGGGCTCGGGTACGGCGAATGGCATATGGAAAGAGGCAATGACATGCATGCACGCAAGCAGGCAAACAGACAGGTAGGCGAGCAAGCACACGTCCAGAAATGTGGGGAACTCAGACGGAGGAGCGAGACGCAGGGGCGTAAGACGCGTCCAGTACTTAAAAAAAAAGGGGGAGATTGTTGTGATGTGATGTGAGGTGATGTGAGGTGATGTGAGGTGATGTGAGGTGATGTGAGGTGATGTGAGGTGATGTGAGGTGATGTGAGGTGATGCGAGGTGATGTGAGGTGATGTGAGGTGATGTGAGGTGATGCGAGGTGATGTGAGGTGATGCAAGGTGATGTGAGTCGCAACGTGCTAGCGAGCGCGCAAGTATTGCGTGAGCGAGACGACACTCACCGCTCCCATGGCGACGCCAGCGTGAAGTCGTCGAACCCATCGAGCTGCCGGCCACAATCGGAGAGACAACAAGCACGCACATACACACACATTCGGGAGCGGTTAGCCAGCGGTTAGCCAGCGATTAGCCAGCGGTTAGCCAGCGGTTAGCCCCCGCAGGAACAAGTGCCGTGGGTTCCAATCGGAATGGCCTGCGGACATGTAGAACTACCCTACGAGCATGTAACATGTAAAAATACCCTTCGAGCACGAGGCGGAGCAGCCATTGCGCAACATCATCTGAGCAGGCAAACACGGGAGGAGGTTTTCACGTCCTCTCCCCTCGTCAGCGTTCAACGTGTCCTAAAAAAATACCATTTACAATAGGCAATGTACAAGAAGGATGTTTTTTCCTCAATCTTCACCTCCTCGTCGAACTCGTCGTCTTCTGACGTCGCAGCTGAGAGCGATCGCTGCATCATCGCCGCCATGGTCGGTCGATGTCACCTGCGATGCGAACCTCTGACACACATAGAGAAGGCGACGACCAGGGTAGACAATGTCGCGCGATTTTCCAAGTTTAACTACGACAATATGGATAAAAGGGATAGCACACTTGCTGCAGTGTAAAAAGCGAGGAAATGAACAAGAACCAAAATGTCCCAAAATTGCCTCGAGCTTCCTACCTTTGGTTGAGAGTTCCCTAGGAGAACTTCTCGACAACCAATCCCGCCCTCCTATCCAACCAACCTTCCTACCACTACTTGGCACGCGGGTTACGGCGCACGTGACAAACCAGATAAGCGTACCTATCGCTCCTGTGTTCACTATGCGAGAGAAACCGATGCTCGATAATGACGAACGCTTTACATTGTGAGAGAAACGTGGACAAACAATATAACAACCACTCACGTTTCTCCAGCCAATGCTCCGGTCGTATAGAGTAGCCTCTCGTACAATCTAAGAGAGATCCCGGCGTCTTCGCCACCCACGAACCCGTGCTAGTTTTCTCCCAGCGCGAAGCGAGCCACATCAACGCGGAAACGGCTCTATTCTGAAGTACATATGGTTTCAGTGGACTAGACTACATTTCACCACACCCGCTATCTGTGGTGTTCGGCAATCCCAAGGTCTATCTTGGTTTGGATGGTCGGTAGGAGGGGGGTGTAGTGGCGGAGGAAGGATGGCGGGGTTGGGTGTGAGGGAGGGAGGGGGGGTGGCGGGATCGAGGGTACAGGCGACGGCGCAAGAATGTGATTCCTCACGGCAGAACGTGGTGGCCCGCTATACACAGACGGTATACGGTGCTGTACATCCGTTTAACGATACATCCTTGAATAAAGTGGTCAATGCAACCCTCTTTTGACTTGATCAGCTCTCCTTCCCATCCCGCTAGTACTTCATGATACCATGACTTCAATGATTTAAAATATAAACCAGACATAATTGAAACCCAGGAACTGGCAAGCAAGTTACAACGGACAACATACGGCTTTGAATCTCATCCACCGCTCCCTAAATTCCCCTAGACTTCAGCGGGCCATTTGGAATCCCACTTCAGCGTCATGGCTTGTCATCTCCGCCTCTTTTGGCTCTCCCACACTTAACCTGCCCAGGCGGAAGAACCCTTTTCTGTAAAACGACTGTGCGCCAAGAAGTCCATCCCCCTCCTCTCCTGTATCTTCATGGGCCTCAGTTTCATGTATCACTACAGAAGAATTGCCCTTCCCTGGAGTATCCCCTCGCATGCTCTTAGTGGCAAGAGGGCAGTCACCCTGCATGCCTTTACAATGACCCTGACTCCCTCGTTGAGTTTCCCCCTCCCTTCCAAGCACATTCTGAGAGTCATCAGCAATGAGTGCCACCTCAGCAGCAGCCATTTCCACCCTAAAAAACGGACCAGCAACACCCGTCTCCACCGCACCCGACCCATCAGCACCTGCGCTAGCCACCTGTTCCATTTCCATCCCCTTGTGCTTGGCCCTCTCCTCCTCCTCGAGCTGCTGCAGCGCCCTCTTGCCGTGCACCATGAGCAGCAGCAGCACCACGCCTGCTGCCGCCAGCCCTATCAGCTCGTAAATCAGCTCCACCACTGTGATGTGCCGCTTGTGGGCCTCCGCCAGATCACTGATCAGGCGACCACTGTAACAGAGGGGCGAACGGGGGGGGTTTAAATAAGTTAAGGAGATGACACAGAGAGCTAGATAATCAACAGCCAACCCTATCAGCTCATGCACCAGCTCCACCGCTGTAGAATGGATACAAGGAGATGATACAGAAGGCAACCAAGCTATACCAACTGATACTCCAGCTCCACCAGATGACTCAGGTAATGGGGCAAGCCGTGTCAATTCTTGCAATGACCCCATGACATGTAGCAATGGACGGTGGCGAAGACTTGGTAAGGGCGTGCGGCATACGCACCAGTAGATGGTGAAAAAGGCTTCGGGAATCATGGCGGTCATTGATGCAGAAATGTAGGGCGCATAGCGGATGCGAGTGGCCGTTACTGCATCTGTGGATCATCAGAAAGAAAGGAGGAGAGCGGCAACAGAAACGACTCAGCAGGAGGCCCACAGAAACCTCCCCTTAACTCGGAATTGAAGCTAACAGCCTAGCAACCTAAAGCACCCACGAGAGGGCAGATTGGTACTTAAAACTGGCGAAGGCGGATCTACTTACAGTTGAAGAGGAGGAACGGAAACGGGGAGAAGCGGAGCAGCAAGGTGACCCGGTACTGGTGCCACCAGCCGCCAGCCTCGGCCAATCGCAGCACAGCAGCGTTCCGTGGGTGGTCGGCCAACCACGCTTGCACACGCGCGTGGAACAGCCAGTGACCAATGAAATACGGCAGCGATTGACCGATCAAGGAGCCAACCATAATGAGGATGAAACCCCACGCGTAGCCGAAGACAATCCCGATGAGCCACATGGAGGGACCCGTGGGGATAAAAACCACTGGGAAGAGACCCATACTGGCAACGGCTACTACACCTAGGACTGGAGGACTAAGATTCTTTTGCTCCCATTCCAGCATGGGAATGATGACTTTAGAAAAGAGTAACGGACCCAAAACGGCGACTAGTCCTCCGACCAGCATGAGCAATCCGACGGCGGCCGTCACCCAGATACACCGCCGTGGATGCAGGTGCGATTTGAACCATTCGTTCGCCGTGTCAGTTTGTGAGTCCACAGCCTTGGAGTGGGGAGTTCTATCCGTCTCGCTTTTAACTAAACACGAGGAAGCCTCTGAATTCGACGGTGTTCGTGGTACTGTGGACGACAGCATGATGGGCTCCAGGATAGACGCTGACGTGGCTGAAGTTTCGCGGGTAAGGAGACTTGCGTCTTCGTGCCGGCAGAAGGCGCTGCGTGCTGCTGCATCGTCGCACTTCCGCCGAGTCGACGACTCGCATATTGAGCCGGTGCGGGAATCTGGAATAACGACATCCAGTGGCGACGCCTCTGCGACGGAAGATTGGTCGACAGCGTGGGTCGTGCGACAATCGGCTCTTCCATGCCGACGGTCTCCCATCATATCGACAAGACGAAAACCACTGACGCTCTTCGGGCTCTTCGGTTGCTCGACCCAGAAAAACACGAGATGATGTGCCGGGGCATATAAATGGACTATACCTAACAGGCAACACGGCGCAATACCCTATTTGTACACGTTGGAGGCTACACTGACGCTCGCATGTCCTGTCTTAGTGCTCCCTGAAGTGCTCGCCAACGTCCCAGAGACGCGAATTCATTCAACGAGATAGACGGTTAAGGTACAGGGCAAGGGAGGGGAAGTGAGCGAACAAGATTGGAACGAGGTTGTACTGAACTGATGCAACAACCAGTTCGCGTGCGTGATGGAGGTAGCAGCGTGCTGTGACAGGCGGGGTTGCCGTGGCCTTCACTCACCAGCTCAGGGGAGTCAGCTCAGATTCCTTCTTCCACTAACCGTTGCGGATTGCATCCGTCCGTCCATCCGCGTTTCAGAACCTCCGCACGGACGGTGAGAATTGGGACCCCCCCGAGTTCCTCGCGCCTTCGCGGCACCAACCATTCCCAAGACACCCACACAGAGGCCGTCCCGGTTTAAGGGAAATACGGGAACGTTGTTGGGAACATGATTTCTATAAGCTCTATGCTAACAATCCTGCAAAGAGATGCAAAACCTTATTGCCAATGAAATAATTAGCTCCCATGAAGGTATATGCCGTAGGTTGCCTTGTGTCTTACCATCTCAAAACGTTTTACCTAAGTTTATTACCACAAAAACATGCATACATGTGTATATAAGCATCATATTATAAACATTCCTTACTTCTAAACTACCATCTATATTCTACCCTAGACATTATCTTGCCTGATGCAGAATTACCACATCCCTCCATCATGCAGAGTTATCAAAGTCATCCAAGCTGTGTAGGTGCTTCTGTTGCAGCCCACGACATGTGATAACCAGCATGAGCAACCACACCCACCACCCTCTGGGCTGGGCTATATGCTTCCTTCTGAGCTGGGCTATAGGCTTCCCTCTGGGCTGGGCTATAGGCTTCCCTCTGGGCTGGGCAATAGGCTTCCCTCTGGCCTGGGCTATAGGCAAAATCTCCCTGCACATGGCCATACATGGGATGATACACCATGGCACACCACCGCCATGGGATGATGCACCATGGCACACCACCACCATGGGATGATGCACCACGGCACACGACCCCCACGGGATGATGGACCATGGCACACCACCACCATGCGATGATGCACCATGGCACACCACCACCATGCGATGATGCACCATGGCACACCACACCACCACCATGGGGTAATACACCATGGCACACCACCACCATGGGATGATACACCATGGCTCACCACCACCATGGGATGATGCACCATGCCACACCACCACCATGGGATGATACACCATGGCTCACCACCACCACCAGCATCATCACTGAGAAGTGATGACGGTGATGGTAATGGCAGACAATGGGACGGTGCTTGCGGCAATGGTGCTGGCGGGAAGTGGTGATGGCCAGTGAAGATGGAAAGTAGTCGTGGTGGTGGGATGTGGCCGAGGAATGGTAAGAACCCCCAAGGTAAGCTGAGATCCAGGCAGGGGAACAAGGTTGAAGCACCAAAGTAAGGCAGGTGAGGGGAAAGAGAGGGGGGTTGAAACCCCCAGGATAAGGCGAGCATAAGGCAGAGGAAGGGGGTTTCCCTGCCCCATACTTGCATTAACCTGGGGGTTTCAGCCCCCCTCTCCCCCCCTACCCCTCGCTTGCCTTACCCAAGGGACTCCAACCCTCTTCCCCTGACTGGGTTTCACCAAACCCAGGAGGTTCTCACCACCCCTCTGCCACATCCCACCACCACCACAACCCCCCACCTTCACTGCACCACCAATATCACCACCACCTTCCAACATCACCACCACTTCTCACCACCACCACCACTTCTCATCACCACCACCACCACCACCACCACCACTTCTCATCACCACCATCACTTCACACCACCACCACCACCACTTCACACCACCACCACCACCACCACTTCACACCACCACCACCACCACTTCACACCACCACCACCACCGCTTCACACCACCACCACCACCACCACCACCACTTCACACCACCACCACCACCACCACCACTTCACACCACCACCACCACCACTACTTCACACCACCACCACCACCACCACCACTTCACACCACCACCACCACCACTTCACACCACCACCACCACCATTTCACACCACCACCACCACCACCACTTCGCAAAACCACCACCACCACTTCGCAAAACCAGCACCAGCACCACCACTTCTCACCACAACCACCATCACCACCAGCACCACACCTGCCTCGCCTCACCTACCATCCCCTCAACTCACCCAACAGCAGCAGGAGAGGCATGCAACACAGACCCCTTAAGAGCCGCACCGGCAGTACCCATTGCGCTGAGGTGCCAAGTGAGGCAGGAGGCAAGCACACGGTAAGCCCAAGATCCAATTACCCCTCACCGGCGTGGCAAGAGCTGGCACGAGACAGAACCATTCGGCCGCAATGGTCTGCCATGGGCCCATTATGCATTAACGCGTGG